TTAAAGGGAAATTTCGGTTTATTTCAACCTGTCTCCTATCGTCCTAAATTTGTTTCAAGTGACTAGTGACATAAAAATAATAGTTAGCATGTTAGCTGTTAGCCTAGATACAGCCGGGGCGCATAGTAGCGTCAGACCTGTTAAAACGTAAGTGAATGGGCAACCTTCAAGTGCAAAGTTAGTCCACTAAACAAGCTTTTTTCCCACAAAGGCCGCCTCATATCGTTAGGATAAATGTCAGAGAACATACAGAAAACGACATGTAAATGTGTTGTCTTACCTTACCAGTGTGGTGCCATGTTTGTTTACCATCTAGCTCTGCTTTCCAAAAAAAATATATCGAAATATATCTCGCGAGCTCTAGATAAAGCCCAGCTGGATACTACTCCAGGTGGAGGTGTGCGCCCCGGCTGTATCTAGCCTAACGGCTAACATGCTAACTATTATTTTTATGTCACTAGTCACTTGAAACAAATTTAGGATGAGAGGAGACAGGTTGAAATAAACCGAAATTTCCCTTTAAATAACAGTATGAGCCTGTCAGTGGCAAAAACAAGCACTTTTACTGGACATAAATTGATGGTGTGACAATGCCCCGTGAGGTTACATTGCAGCCTGTTTTGCTGCTGCAGGCTGCGGTGGTCTCGCTCAATACTGAACCAACTTCAAAAACTGTATTTCCCATTAGTCACTTAGACTCAAAAATATGGGAAAATCCAGGTTGAAAAATACCAAACGTATGATCTTGACCCCGTATTTTTGTTCAAGGTAAGCTACAATTACCATAACAGATTGAATGTAAGTATCCCTTATGCAAATTTAAAGTGTACAGCCATGTACAAATCTAGCATGGAAACAAGGAAGTGAGGCTTTATCAGGGTTATCGCTTCAGTCACAGAGGTTTGTTAATTAACATCTGTAACACCTTCAAAGCAATCAGGAGGATTTTAGCACCCCAGATCACCACCTTCCTCTACATGAGCTCTCAACTCAAAATATATCCACCTTGCTGCAACTATTTACAATAGCCCAAACCTTCTGTTGTGAGCTGCACTGCTCATTTGCCCAGAGGCTGCTGGGTGTAACATATTTTAACATCAATGTATGTGTTAATTGTATTTTAAGCTGGTGTTCCTCAAAGTAAAACCACATTTCCCATAAACACTGTTGCTTCCTGTCGAAAAGAGGATGTTTTGATTCATCTTGCTTCCCCTCTGTGCTCCATGTGCATTTGTTCTCTCCTTCACTTTACTGAAGAGGATTAATGTGACGGTTTAAGACACCTGAGACCAAATAGATTGTTTAATTCACTTACTATTAAGACAAGTTTGCTGTGGTAATAAATCTAAATATATAGTTACAGCTTTTTCCTCCATAAGCTTCACTGGTGCAGGACGAAAGGAAAATGTGTTCTGTACTGAAGCAGCAAGAATTTGTCTCTTTTTGTGTGTTTATGGTAATCATGCTGCCTTCTATACACACACAGCGACTCTGATTATGGGACAAGATTACACCAAATCCTCATATTACAGAAAGAAACAAAAGCCCAGAATCTAATAAATGCTGCATATGTGCTATTCAGACATGTCTTGCTTACATAATGTCAACCGTTTTTTGAGTCTGTGATCATCATTGGAAGATAAACTCACCTCAGATATCTTCTGGAACTGGCCGTTGGCCTGGCTGCATTTCACTGCCGTCTCTAGCGCCACTTTGTAGTTGTCCACAAAAGCCTTGTACACTCCCAACTGGCTGGCCTGTGAAAATAGAACGAATTAGAGACATTAAGGTACAGGAGAAAAATGGTGGTGTGAGACAATGATAGTGGTATGAGTGAATCTCTCTTCTGTTGAAACTTGGTTTCCTGTAACAACCTTGGGACTGATTTCTATCTAAAGGACTCAGGATGTGAGGTTATGTGTGCTCTCAAGTACCTTGCCTCTCTTCAGCTCCACTACAGTGCCATCAGTGTGCAACACCTAGTTGACGTTATGTTAGAAATGCAGTCCGCTAACGCCAACAAACGACCAGCACCCCCCACCAATACAAAGTCCACACATGCTGTGTTTTCTGCTATAAAGGTTTTGCTATGGCGGCCTGGAGATGGACCTTCAGTTAAAACTGTAGTTAATCTAATTCAGCCAGTGCAAGACCCAGTGGCAAGGGGGTGGATATCCAAACTTTCTGTTGCTGCCATTACACAGGTTAGACCTCGCGCTGCTACTGGCCACCAGCCAGGTGTGACCCCCAGCACTGGAGTTTGCACTGGCTGAATTTAAGTTGCTACAGGCGCTATCTGAAGGTCTCTGGAGCTGCCATCCGCTCTCTCCTGTGGGCAAAAAAAGTGTCCGTGTCCAAGTGGTAGGGAGTGAGGTGGAGGGACTGCGGTGTGCTAGCTTAACTCATTTGTGGTCTGATAAACAGTAAATTCATCCAATTCAGTGCCCCATATCACAGATTCAGTTTCCCCTGTGCTGAAAAAACTACTAGAGGACACACAGACGTGAAATATTTTGTGTTATTGTGATTTTAGCTGGCAAATGTTAGCTAATGTCAGGTTGCTTGCTAACACCATGATGTATAAAGAGAACTAGATACAGCGTAGGGAAGTGGGACTTCATTCATTCCCATTAACATTGCTCAGTGGCACATTAAGCCGGATACATGATTTCTGTGTTATGAAATTACTCAGACCTTCTGTGTCTTGGTGCCCATAGAGCAGGCGGAAATAGAGACTTACAGTGGCCGTGCAGATAACTTCTTCTTTAGCCTTCAGCTAATTTGTATGGAGATAGCATGATTTAATCATGCAGCTCATTTAGACCTCAGAAATGTTATCGGACCAAATAAATAAAATCCATATAGGGAAACAAGTAATTTCATGTGGGTTGTGGTGCTCATTTAAAAAATGTATCCACGTTTCTACAGACATCTCTTGCACATTGTAAACTTATGGGAAAAAGTCTTTTTGGGCCCCATGTCTTCATGTGACAGACCTGGAAGCTGTAGCCCCTTTTACACTGCCGGATTGGAGAGTTGATCCAAGGTGCCCAATTTTCCGCCTCTTAGGGTAGACATATTGGCGGAACCCTTTTAGTTTAAAAAGACCAAGGTGGCCTTCCGCAACAGGAGGGGCTGTTGAAGACAGGAAATAGCTGATAGCAGGAATTAGCAAGCAGCTAGTAGCAAGAGGGAAATGCAAACCTGACAGACACTGTAAAGATGAGCAACTGGGGAGACAAAGAATTGCGCACCCTCCTTGCCCTCGCAAACGAAGAGGCCATTAACCGTCAGATGACGGGGACGGTGAAGAACGGGCTGACTTACGAGAGAATCGCCGAAGGACTGACCAGCCGCGGCTTTCCTCCTATGTCACTGTTTACGTCACACGCTGAGCTACACGTTTTGTTACTTGCTCACGCCCCCCATTGCCCCGAAAAAGCTGCATTCTGTATAAACAAAATTAGGTAGGCAGCATTTTGCTGCACTCGCTGATTTTGTTTTTATACTGCCAATGCTGAAAAATGACTGATTGGGCTTTCCTGCAAATTTGCACAATTCCTGTTTAAAAAGAGCTTGAAATGCCATGTTTGACGGCCATGTCCAGTTGGCTTTGTCAAAGAGTCGGGCACTGTTCCTGGGGGCTTGGCTAACTTGGACAAACTGCGTGGTAGCTAATGTAGCAAAATACTGTCTTAAGTGAATAACGTCAGCAAATTTATCCAGACTCCAGGGGCTGGTCTTAAATCACTTTATCAACTAACACTACAAAGCAACCAACGCCAGATCCATGCAACGTATTTTAGTTATAGCTAGCTGGCTGGTTTACTGTCTATTAGATTTAGTATTTCAACACAAGTCTGTCATGGTGGTAAACCAGTGAAGAGAGCACAACTTGCATTCACCTTGAAATATCACTTCCATACTTCCTTACATACGTACTGTCGCACAATGAGATTAAAATAGATAGAGCTATAGAGCTCTGGCAAATGAATTAATTTCTATTCCCATCAGAATTTAGCCTGAAGTGGAGGGTTGAAAAGACTGCAGTCCCACTTCTGCTCTATCAGCATACATGAAATTATCCCCCCCCCCCCCCCCCCCCCCCACACACACACACACACACACACTGGTACACACATACAGTGTAGCCATGCACACAGGCTAATCACATTCCCATCATGCCACTCCACTGGTGGCTCTGTGCAGATTCACTTTCCCTTTCCCTGTCCCTTTCATTAACAGCAGCTCTCTGCTGCACTGTATGTGCATTGTAACACAAGCAGACCAGCAGTGCATGAATATGCATCCTGCTACAGCTATGCTTGAATGGCTGGGCTGAAGTGCTGACTGCACCCTATTAAAGCAATGAGATTGGATTTGGCTGAATAGAGTGAATGAGTAAGACTTGTTACTTTTGTCCTTAACACCCCCCCAACTCCTATTTTCATTTCCTCTCCTTCCACTTCCCCTCAGAGCATGAAGTGGAGAGTCGGGCACAAGAGAGGAGACATGGAGGAAGCATCCAGCCTCATATGATACAAACTGTAAATCAATATATTCTTCATAGGATACGGATGATGGAGAAAATAAAACATAGCCAAGTTATTTTGATGTGTATTTTGTGATTTGGCCATCTTAGCCCAATCCTGACAAACATTTAGTCACATAAAGACTTGCACAGACAAGAACTCAGCCAAACAAGTGTCATGGTCTGTATATCATCTCATCATAATTGGAGACTTCAAACCAAAACCTTGGATGGAAGGGAGAAACCACCATGTGTGATCACATTTCCAAAGATAGACATTTTTGACTTGGCAGCTTGGCTGGAAAGAACAAATCAAGCACAATGACGTGATCAAGTTATTTTGACCAGTTTATCATGTTGCTTGGACACGGCGTGTGACCGGTATGAAACCTTTCCAACTCTGTCCGTCACTGAGACGCAGGGCTTTGAGCGATGCTCTGAACATAGCGCCTACACTTCAAACAACACGATCACAGGTCAAAGTGGCGGATGGGAAAACAACAGCTTGTGTCTGAAAGTGGAGGTGGGAAGGAGGAGATGAAGAGGGATGGAAAAAAAAGGAGGGTAGGAGACAGAAAGAGAGTCTTGACTAGAAATAGACACTTTCAAGCAAATGAAAATGCTGATAGATGGCTTACGTACTCCTTGACATGTTAGATGGCAGAACGCTGCAGGCCAAACCATGTTTCTAACAATATCTTAAGCTCTGAACATGACACACAACAGTCTGAGCTCTGTTTTGATCATTTATGTATTGTTGCAGAAAATGCCTAACTCTGTTTAGACACTCATTATTAGGCATCAGCAATTAGCAATTTAGCAATATCTGTATTCTGCACATGCTTGACTTCACTAACTAATCCCAGTATACAATCAACTTCACAATCAAATATTGTATGTGCAGCACACTGTTTGCCAAAGTTCCTCCTGTTACTTTAATACATTGCTCCCCCTTTATCTTAAACACTCAAACTTCAGTCAGTCGTGCTCGTGTCATGTGATTAACACCTGTGAAGAACGATCAAACCAGGGAGATTCTACCACAATTCTCACTCACAAATGAGGCCAGCAACTGGGCATAATTCATAAATAAATCCAAACTTGAAATCAAAGTGAAACTAGGAGAGCAATCTGAGAGCACAGACCTCCGCCAAGGCTAAATGCCTCATTTCACAATGTTGATGAAAGTGAAAAATACTGTATGTATACGCCCTGTGATTTGGATCCCCTCCAAAATTTAATAGGTTCTTTCTTAGCCCATGCTACACCATTACACCAAGTTTCATGGAAATTCGGCCAGCAGTTTTTCTGTGATCCTGCTGACAAACATGAAATTGGGATGGGACAGGAGTTTTTTTGTGGTCGTGGGATGGGACATGAGTAAAAATCCACTCCCATTTCACCCTCTATCACCAACCTTACAACAAAATGGGCTGAAGTAAATACCATGCAACATTCTGACATCCCAATAAATAGACTAAACAGCAGACGTTTGAATCCTGAAGACAAAAACTGAACTACACTAAGAGTGTATAGCCATGTTAGCATCTCTGTAAGGCTATTTTTAGGCACAGCAATGATTTGAGCTAAAAGCTAACATCAGCATTTTAGTATGCTTACAATAACAATGCTAAAATGCAAATGTGAGGCAGATATGTTAACCACTTTCAACATCTTAGTTTAGCATGTTAGCATCCTAACATTTGCTAGAGACAAAGCACAATTGAGGATGATGGGAATGTTGTTGAGGTAATGGACCAGAGTATGACAAATTAAAATTTTCATGAAAGGTTAAGTCTTCAATTAAAACATAACATATTTCAAACCAAAGACATGATAATTGATTTTTGAAGACATGCCCACACACGACATCATATCCCTTAATAGTCAGACAGTGCAATGTGTCCAGTCTTCCAAATATAATTATTGACTCAAAACTGAACTTTGAAGCAAGCTGTTTTGTTTGAGGAAGCAGTCCTGGTACTGCATTGACGAAACCATGATGACTTTTTTTCTATCATGCTTTAACTGGATCAATTTTTATCTTTTCCTTTGAAGGCCTACCTTTAAATAAATGAAACTCTCTGAGTCAAACTGTCATATGGTCTGGTGGGCTGATTGGTAGGTCACAGCTTAACCCAGTGTCCCTGTACACCAGGCAGTTACAGCAGATAACTAGCTCAATTTTAAATGAGGGCACCCACCCTTTGCACAGTTTATAGTCCC